CTAAAGCTCTATGATGAGATATTTAACTGCAGTTTTCCCATGCAATCTGAGTTTTCTAGAGAAGCTTCCTACTTTCCACAGCAAGCTTCAATGTCAGTTCTAGTAGGCAACTTAAAAACAATCAACCCCCAAAAAACCAAAAAGCACAGCAATGCATTAGTTTATATGGAATATAACTGACCAGCATGAGCCACAAAATACAGCATTAAAAATATAAACTGTGAACACAATTAGGGTAGGGTTTTGGAGGCATTTTTGGGGGGAAAACACATCCTTATAGTCCAAGCTTAGCAGCACATGAAACAGCACTACAAGTTCAGGTCCCAGGAAAGGATGATTTACAACAAACATCACTGTATGAAGGAGTTCTCCTTGCTCAATGGTTTTGTGCTCTGTTTCATGTTCATATCACATTACTTAAAAGGATAAAAATAAGTTTTACTCCTGTCAGTCATGTATGCTAGAAGGCAGCTCTGCTGTGCCCAGGAGAACTTCACTCTTTTTCTTGTGTTCGGCAAGGATTCCAGAAACAATCTTCTCTACAGTGAAAAGTGAATCTTTTCCAAATTCTAGTCTGGATGAGAACTAACTATCCTCAGTACAAACTGCAGAGAAGTAATGATGCTGCACTAGTTTAAGCAAGAGAATAATACAACATGCCAAATGTTTACAACTGACACTGCGTAAAACACGAACAGACTGGCACCCAGGGTGCAACTACATATAATGTTTTGTTCAGCAGCAACTACCCTCCCACACACACTAACACACAAAGGGAGAGGGGGAAAAAAAAGATCCCCACAAGCTACCCAGACCATTTTGGCAGTATGATTTACAGTGCAGTAGCATAAACACCTGTCTATGTACACAAGTGACAGGATGACAAACTTTAGGACGCGGAGAGGAAAACAAGCAACCAGGAACTCCAGGTGGTTTCACTACCAAATAAACAGGTAACATGACACTCAACCCTTAGGCCATAACCTGGCATGCATTTAAACTAGAATGGCTGTCTTGACGTACATCAAGTTTCAGTCCAAAGTAGCAGAATTAAGTCCCAAAAAGGGAAATTACAATCATAAATTTTTTTTTTGCATATAAGAAAAATAGACTAAACAAATATGAAAAGCAAATGTATCTGCTTAAGCCATAAGCACATTTTAGAATATGATGTACTTCAGTTGTTGCAAATGGAGTTGATCTCAGTTGAGAAGTTTTTTCCTATTTGTTTTTAATATACCTTTTCACGAACTTTTGTAGCAGTGTGCTTTGAGATGTGCTAATAAACAGTCATATACAAAGCAGGTAAAGAACCGAGCTTGTAACAGTAAGTTTCAACAAGAATTAGTCATTCTAAGTTCAGTTACAAGAACAGAAAACAGCAACCGGAAGTACTAGGCAATGTTTATACCTAAGTCTTCTCAAACTCTCCTAGTATTTCTGATTGATTATGGAGGGTGACGTGAAATGAAAATTTCTCAAGGCTTGTGGTTCATTATTTAAGAATCATTCATTAACATTCATAATGGGTTAAAAAAGAAAAATAAGATTGTACCTGTTGCTTTAAAAATCTGTATATTCTATAGGCTCTTCTAGATTCTTCTTTTGTTTGTGGGTACCTCATTCAAGAGGGTATACTACTTTACTGTATGATATCTCAGCAGCGAGAATGGAAGCCATTGCCCTCCAGTTTGATGAAGCCCCATTAAATACTCAGTGCAAGAAAGAGAGGCGCCTTAACACCACCCCACAATTTAGAGGCATTAAAAGCTACATTAAGGCCTTTGGGGATATTCTTACCAAAACTGAAAGGGCAGGACCTCCATGTAACAGTTACTAACACACAGTATTAGCAGCCTATTTGCCGCTGTATATCCTGAAGCACATTATAGTATATGATCAGTTACTAGCATTCTCGAAAGGACTGCAGCCCTGCAGTCCCAGAGTATATCTGACACGTGTAGACATACCAACTGAGAAAAGACTGAGCACTCTGAAACCGGACTGTTACACCTGCAACATAGGAAGAAGATTGGTTGTAAAGACAAGCAAGAATGTCAGACAGCAAGTGATTGAGGAGAATAAGGGAATTATCTGCTGTAGTTGCCAGCCTAAGGTTTGTCTAGCTTCTTGGTACCGCAGGCCAATTTCTCCTCCACCACCCAACTCTTCCCTTTGTCAGGGCAAAACTAATGGACTCCATAAAGGGTTCTTCAGCTACTCAAAGTTCTGGTTCATGCTGCACCTCTGAACTGAAATCCTCACCCACCTGCCCACATGGATGCCCTTGCTGCTGCTGATCAGCTTCTAATACCAATGAGCTTACTAACAGCCACTGGCTGCTCCGTACAGAGACACTTCCGGATCTACAGTCTGCTCCAGTCTTCCTGAACCAAGCACTGAGCAGAAACTGAGCTTCCAAGATCAGAGTGCCGATGTAGGGCTGTGGTAGCATGCAAGAAAATGGATAACCTAGCTACAGGAGAATATGGTGGCATGGGCTGGGGTCTTTGTGGAAATGAGTGGAAAAAGAATGCAAAGGCAAAAAGGTTGAGTGGGGAGAGGCTGAGTTGTACAGTAAGAGGAAGAGACTGAAACGGGGGCATGCCTCTTACTGTTTATCAAACACAGCATGATACAGAGGCTCAGAACTAGTAATGGTAGTATCTGAGCAAACTAGTCTGGGAACCCTTCACCTTGGCAAAACTACACTGTATTTCTGCAGCTGCCATACAGCACAACAGAGGACATACCCCCTCATGCCGCAGCAGTCAATTCTACTCTAGTCACTTGAGCTGGAAGTCGAGTAAATGATTTGACAAGGTAATAAAGGTGCTATATAGTTAATTCAGTACCTCAAACAATTATTATTACAGACTTTGGTCAAAATATTTTATAATACACCTTTAATGTAGAGTTCATGCGAACAAAACTCAAAGGCTGCTTAAGTTAAGGGACTGACATGAGGCAGAATGATATTCCGAAACTTTCCCATTTCCTCAGCTGCTCACATCAATGTGGAACTAGCAACAACAAACAGCCAAGCAAAAAAAAGGGGAGGCTGAAGTAGACAAGAAACCCTCTGCAATGTCTCACACGTTAAGAGTCAAACAGAGCAGGAAAGCAGGTCTTCCAGCCACTTTCAGAACGTTCCCCTCAAATACTACAAACGAGACCCTACTAGCATGCCTCACAACTGCACCACAGGCAAACCCTGAAACTTTGCATCCCTTTAGAGAGCCCTAAACAACTTGAATTTATCCCAATGGGAGTAGGGGCTCCAGCAGATACCGCACCAAATCAGCTCAAAACAAACAAAACCTGCCCCAAGAAACAAAAAAGCTAAGCGATCTGAAAAATAATTGCATTTGCTGACAAGTTACACTGATGAAATATAGAAACTCTGACCTAACTTAAAGCTGCTATGCAAAATACAAAAAACGTGGACAGATTTTCTTCTTTGCTTCTCTGCATTAAACCACACACGCTCTCTTGTGGCCTCGTCTCTTGAGAAGTTATCCCAAATGACACTGCTAAAACCTTCTGTAATCACACTGTTACTCCATCTCCTCAGCTCGTTTTTGTCTTTGATTAAGGAACAACTAATAGAAAGCATTTCATTTAAGATACATATAAGTAGCTTTAAATCATGGTAGGTCATTATTATAGCCCATTTTCCAGTCACCAAAAGCAGTGAACCATTGCCACTAACAAATGCAACCTGGATTTGTTACCAGCTTGTAATTCTGGTTTTGGATTTGGGGTTCTTTAACAGTATAAAGACACAAAAGGTTACCTTGCAAAACTGCAAAACAGTGTAGCTGGAGGTTAACACTTTTAGTTGACATCCCAACTAGGACTACTCACAATCAGCATTCCCTCTCCAGCATAGTACAAATGCTGGTTATCACTGATTTACATGTAAGTGGTCTCCCCATTTTTCCGCTAACCCAAAACAACATAAAATATTTAAAAACAAACAAAAAAAAAATCAAGGATTAGAAAACCATTATTCACAGCATTGGTTCCAAAAAAAGGAAAGATTATAGCTCCTAAAACATGAAGATTCTGGTTGATTTAGTGAATTCAAAGTTACCTGCCTTCTGCAATCCTGAAGAAGCTCATATTAAAGAAAATGCCAAGAACTAAGTTTGAACCCAAAAGTAATTCCAAAGAGGAATATTTTCAAACTTTCATATATAAACCCCACAACCTGTTAAAAACAACAACAAAAAAAAACCTAGCTCCTTCCATCAATTATTTTGCTATATTAAAAATATCTCTCGCTTTTTCAAGTGCTGACTAATCTTCAAAATGCAGTCTGACACACCATTCTTTCAATAATAATTTGCTATTAATTTAAATGTTAATATGAACAATACGATTATACATTTTTGGGGTGATAAATTTGTACCTGCTCACATTTCCATCTACAAAATGTCTTGTGTGCAGCCTCAAATGCAGCTTTTTGTTTCTCCTTTAAGAAAAAATAAACTAAAAAAAAAACAGACTTCATTTTTATGAATATACTGTTGATAGATCATTAGTCTGCAGCCAGATTCCCAGAAAGCTGATTCTTCTTCCCTTCCCCCAAGTATATATAAAAAAGGAGACTGGATCTTCCAAACAAAACCAACAGAAATATCTTCTCTTCTATTGCACCTATCCTTCTTTGTCTGCAAAGTAACCAGAAACATTCAATGCCACTGAGACATTTAATCAGAACAGCCACGTAAATGATTAAGTTCAGCTGTTCTGTTAACTCGTGAGATGTGTAGCTCACAACACAGACCAAAAGCCTGCTCACTGATCACTTCTGCAGTTCCTCACACCTAAACTGACCTTACCTGAATGACTTTAACAGTTGTTAAAGTCAACTATTATGCCTATTTTGCCAGTATTTCACAAAAATACTTATACAGATTGATGTTCTAAAGGTAGAATAGCATGTTGGCTTGTCAATAAACTTGCTCCCGCTTTGCAATTTTACTTAGCCTTACTGATCATTTCACTCATCTTAAATTCCACTGTCATTTGAACCCCACTTGGCATGCCTGGACAAATGCAAGGACTTGGATGTTGTTTTACAGGCTGGGCTTACTGCCAAGTCTGCTCTATGTACTTCCCTGGCCCACTAGGGCAGCTTTAGCCAACAGCTCCCTTATTTACGTTATTGCTGTGAACCGCCAAACTGCTGCTTACTATTGAGCAAGGCGCAATCTACTCTCCTTTCTCACTGGTTCAACAACAACATTACTTATGTGGCTACTCCTTCGGTGACATACAAACATCCATTTGCAGCTGTAGAACACAAACAAAATGAAAATGACCACGTTTAAGCAGAGAACTTCTTTTTCTTTTAAGAAAGACAGTTTATTTCTATTTTTCAGAAATCCATAAGATAGAGGCATCTGCATAAATAACTTGTACCCTGCCCATCTCCCACATATCAACTCTCAGCATCTGCTTTCGTGCTACAGTGTGCCCGTTATTCAGATGGGAGGGAGGGGGACAAAGGGTAATATGCACATACAAATGGACAAAATAAGTGATATTTTGTCAAACAAGTGCTCTTTTGCAAATCTCTGTATCAGCGTCAAGTCTCAATGCAATGATGCTATGTAATGACCCAGGAACCATATGCCAAACCATAGAAGTTATGACATTAGATCAGGTGCAACTGCCTTGCAACAGCCTATAAGACAGTTTGAATTCTGACAAATGGCTTCATCCTGGTCAAGCTTTTCCAAACAGGAAAAACTTCATTTAGCCAGAGTAATGGGAAAGAATGTAACACATCTGAACATGTCAACTTCCCAGGATTACCAGGCTTCAGCCATAGCTATGTAACCTTTAACAGCCAGGCAGCTCCAACTTCATTGATAAGCATTTACCTTAGCACATATTTTCCTTTGGTTCTTCCTCCATACCTCTGTAAGTTGTCTTGAAGTCACAAGCTTCTTGTCACAAACCCTCTATTTTTGGTCAGATGCAGCTGTTCGGTTTTCCCCCCCCTCCCCTCCATCAGCAGATAATATAACCACAGCCTATGACTGATTTGCATTGTCTCCCTGTATGTCATTCTTTCATGTGAAAAGATACCAGCATCCTTCTAGCAGGCCATAAAATAAAATGACGACGGTAACTAAGTTTGCTCAAGTGGTGGTTCCTATTACATTTTGTGCTTAATAAAAAAAAATACAAAAACAAAAAATCACATCCAATTGTTAAAGCATCATTTATTTCTAGAGGAAGATACAGATTCAAGCAACTCGTTCATTCATTACTTATAGTGGTACCAGTTGATCCTAGTCTTAATGTGCATGAGCTCTCTTTTGTATAGCAAACGTTTACAGACCAGCAAGGACAGCTATAATTACATGGATCGCTCAAATATATATATTAACCACAAAGTTATCATCTTATGCAAGTGCCTTCTCCCCTAGACACGTATATAGACAATCCGATCTAGAGAGAATGAAAAGACCTTAACAAGGAAAAACTCCAGGCAAACTTGTACAGATGTGCAGACTGCTCTCTTAAAAAGACATCAGAAGATCATCCGTCAGGGTTGCTCTTACTTAGCTAAGGAAAGCAAACTCTGTAGCAGCTACGGATCAGAGGTGTATGATAACAACTTTCAGCGAGAGCAACCCTTAGTCAGCTCACACCTCGTGGGCACCGGTTATTGCGAGCATTCTGCCCTAAGTTTTCCACTCAATCTAATTAGGAGACTGCTTTCTTCCCTACTACAACTCGACTTTCTTATTATGCCTACCTCATTCACCATCTTAGGGAAAAGAACAAAAAGTTCAAGCATTCACTGCAGACTTCTGTGAATAGTTAAGCTCGTTTTCTACTCTCTACCAACAACTCTGACAGCAAAGATCTTAGGAATACAAATTTAAGAAGTGAAGAGGGACACTTCAGATATTAATGATCAGGGCAAGGCTACGAACACTAATATTATGGTGGCATTTCAGTACAAGCCATCAATTGTAAGAGTCTTAGTACATATCTAAATTAAATGACGCATATACAGCGCAAACTTTTGCTACTGAGAACTCTGCCTAGTCACTGAGGAAAAATTGAGTGCTGGTCATCTCTTCAAAGCACTTAACACAGGGACAGGAGGTAACTGCTGAGCAGCCCAAGTATCTCAGAGACACTAATAGAGGAAGAAGGCCAGATACTGAAAGCTTCAAAAGAAAAGCTCAGGTATCACTTTGATGGTCACAATACTAAAATGCATATTTAAATCTAGAAACTGAGCAACAACCTTGAAACAGTAAGCTAATGAATCGAAGTAAGAGGAAAAAACCTCAAGAGAGAAATTTTTTTTTCCCAAATAAACTATAACTCCAAATCCAGACATATAGTCCTTATCCTCATCCAGAAAGGGGCTCTAGCTCGCAAAAAGGTTTTGACTTGTCACTAAATTCATCACAGAATTGGGACATAAATACCTGTTATCTTTTCAGGAGGTAAGAAAGACTGTGAGATATAATTCATCAGTAAGAAGGTCGCTAAACAGTATTACTTAATCAGATACTAAGTCACAGGAAATATCAAAAACATCTTTTCACTTTAAGTAAATAAAACAGACATTATGAACAAGAATTCCAAGGAAGATAAATTTTTACTTTGGAAAGTGTAAAATTATCTGTACTTTTAAAGCACTCATATTTGGGGAAAACAAAAAAAAAAAAAAAAACCAAATCCAAGTAAGTTAATTACTTAAGTTGAAAGTAAACATGTAGTATGATTTTCTCCTTCCCTAGCTGATAATCAAAGAATAAAGGCTGATGGGGAGGAGGTGGGGGGAATTCCAGGTACTGCACTATTCTACTAGTTTACAGGACATTCTCCTGTGTCTCCCTCTTAGAAGACTGTCAGAAACAACAGAAAAGCTTTAAACAAGGTTCTGAACTGCACTATCAACAACTCATCTGTCAAACTTCCCTCAATAATTAAAGAATTCATTTGCTGGATACTGAACCACTTGCAGCCTCTCAATTTAAGTCAGTCCTCATTCCATATACCAACAAGCAATAATTTTGGATGTTACAGAACCTTGCAAGATCCTGAATTTGCAGCTCAGTACTGCACACCCTGAATTCTTTAAAGGCCCTTATCTTGTAGAACTGCATCCCTAATAATAGGGGATGAACCCTTAAAAAAATTCAGCTAAAGAAGCAATCACAGCACTTTGTATTTGCTTCATTTTTGCACAGCTTGGCACGTAAACTGCATGCCTCATCCACAACAGGGTTTTTAACAATTGTGAAAGCCATATGACAATTACTTGCTTAATAGCTAATACATTCTAAGCAAATTTTCCCAAAATTATACTGCAAAATGGTGTGTGGCAGGGGAGAAATACAGCAGAGGGAGGCAGAGGAAAGAAGAGTATTCCATTATTCAAGTGTTACACAGTATATCTCAAAAATCCCTTCATTAAAATATCCAAACAGGTGGCACCTCACATGCATTAATTTCCAAAGTTAGTTACATGACAATCTATTTTACTAGACTGTACGAGAACTCAACAGTACTGTGATTCAAATGCCTATTTTGCCATTTCAAACACAATTGGTATAATGCGCCAAGATGCAATCAGATGCTGCTTTCTTGCTAAACAAAACAGTTTAGCAAGAAAGAACGTATCAGACATTTGGTTCACTTCAGAGCGCTCTATAACACTACCTTAGAGCGCTGAAGACTTGAATTATTTTGCCAGAGAAAGATGACGCTCACCTGTACATGGAGCTCTATCACCTGTTGTGAGTAGTGAGGGACAAGAACATAAAATTATGAGAGGACAAGAGATCTTTGGCCCATTTCATCACAGATATTTTAAACGCTAGCCAGATATTTTCAAAAGGTGCTTAGTGCCTAACTCCCATTTCAAAGTATCTCAAAAGGTTTTGACAATTTCATATTTAGTGACCACCTCAGCAAATTCTTATTTCATTTGACAAGCTATATCAAATGGGCAATGCCTTTGATTTCAAGTGAAACATGCTGTACAGACTGCAGTATTAGACTATGGACTTTTAACCATCTTTCATGTGTACCCCTCCTCAACAGAAACTGCACTGTTTGGATCAAGCACACAAGCACCACTGGAGAACGTTAGTCTCAATTCCTGCCATTTAGCACAAAACTAAGGAGTCTGTTAGTTCTAGTACCTTATGAACAACAGAGAAAGTATTCTGTGTAATAAAAGTTGGTTCAATTTCTCTTACTGCCTTTTTTATGTCACAAAAAAAGATGATCTACAGACTTGGATTAGCATTTTCTTAGTACTACAGAAAATAAAAGTATGCTAAACAAAATGAAGAAACAGGTCACTTTCGGTTTTGATTAAAAATACATTTAAAAATAATATAAATATATATGTAAGTATGCTCATAACAGAATAAAATCCTCACAACACTACAGTAGTCTCAGCCAGGTAAAATAAAGTGTTAATGTAGATTTCCATGTTATTTCCATGATTAGCTAGTATCGGACACTTCTTTCACACAGATGGCGATCCTCATCCCAAACATGTGCAGAGATACTTCGCAAAGCCTATGGGTTTGTCATCAAGTGTTCCCCATGATCATGGAAAACTTGGTAATTTAAATATTATTTACTTCAAATTAGGTAACTTTCCCTATGACCTATACGTTTTACTATCAGCATACGTTAAAAAAAAGTACTCCTGCATTTATTTTGCTGCCCAACTGACAACAGCAACAAGTTGGACAGGATTATGAAATTGGCTTTAGGGAGGTGTAATAACTTTTGTTCATCTAACTAATATACTTGGAAGAGGGGGAAACACAAGATTTCCAGCATGAGTCCTCCTATATAGAATCTAGATCTTAAAAGGTAAAATACCCAGGCAGAATTAACAGCTAAACTGTGGCACACCTTTTAAGAGAATACTTGGAAGCAGAGGCCTATTCTAACCCTTCCACCTCAAGACCACACCTTTGCACAGCAGGCCAGATCGTCTCAAGTATTTCACAAAATACTGAAATTATGAAGTTATGCATGTGAAT